AAAAAGAGACTGGTTGAAGATCATACATCACATGGATAATTGCAATGCACAAATAACATGCACAGTAAACAACAACAAAAAGTTTTATGTAGTTCCAAACATTCATCTAGGCAACTGATATTAGAACAAAAGACATCCTTTCATTTGAATATCTCTGAACAGAAGTTTAGGTATCCAAACAATATAGAATCAGGAACAGTAGTAAGAACCAGGGGGCTCTGATTATTTACACTTTCTGAGAAAACAGAGAAGTCTCCAAAAATTTTCATAGCAATCAGTTTGTTATCTTCACTTAATTTTCTGAGGCATCACCGTTAACTTGGGAGGGACACATAGCCCTAGGGTTTGTGGCAGTGGCTCCTGGTTCTATGCAAAAGTTTCATAGCACTAGCCTGGAAGCTCTACCTGTTGATAAAAACAGCTCCAGCTCCCAACACCACACTTAATCCTCACTGAATTTAGGTGGAGTCTGTAACAGACTCCAACCTGAAGATTCTCCCACCTTCCACATTTTGATACCCTCTTGCTCAAGACAGGAGCTCCCTGGCCTGCTCCGTCCCCTTCACAGCACGCCTCTTTCCTCCTCCTCTGCACAGGAGTTGAAGAGCCATGGCCTACCCATTCACCTAACAAAAAATCAGCAATGTTTTTAATCCACAGGCTCAAAACGGGACCACAAGGCTCTTCTGAGCATCGCTTGCTGTCAGGTGCACATCCTGATGGAGCAGCTGTGCAGCATTTCTTCTAGGGCTTCACCTGAGCCTGCTATACTGTTGCCTTGTAAAAATAAGAGTGATTTTAAAATAGATAAGGAGAAAAAACAATAGAGGGAATTAATGCACTGAATTTGTTATACTTGAACCTGATCCTCTTTTCATTTTCCAGGTATAAAGCAAAACCATTTCCTATTCTGAAAGGATATTACCATGCTAAAGATATATACAAAGACCTTGGATCCACGGATAAATAATCTTTTGACCTCTATGCAATTGTTAATCTTTGATTCCAGAATAGTTGAATAATTCTTCAAGCGCAATGTTATTTGTAATTGCTGTATGTATATACATGAAACTGAAGACATTTAATATATCATAATACAAAGGATAAGCACTGGTCATGGTGTTGACTACTAATAATGACAAATGATCAAATTGATGGATTTGCATCAAAGAACAGAGCTAGGATAACAAGATGTGTCCCTTAGGCCCTCCTTCATGCTCATCAAAATTGCACAGTGCACAAAGATGTAAAATGAGAATTAAAGAGTAGAGAAACTCACTATATTATGTTACAAGTCATACCTGAGGCGAGCAATGCAGTGGTCCAGGTTATTAGAGATTTCCATCAGCCACCCTTGCTTATAACGTTTCAGAAGTGCTGCTTCATCAACCTAAGAAAAACGGCAGAAATCTTAAAACTCCTATTTCTCCCACCCAGTGACTTATTTTCACTTTTTCAAATAGCTTGGAAGAAAGAGTAGCAAATCTGGGAAGAGAATAGCCCTGCATTGGCCTTAAAAAGGTGGAATAGGTGTTAATTTACATCTGTTATTAATCAGTTTATTATTTCACGCTAAAAGTGAGACGAGAAACAAATTTTGATCTGCCACTTCCCAGACCCAGACACATTTTGCAAAGCTAGACTTCTTAAAATAGTACAGGATTTTTCTACTAATTATTTTTTTTTCTTTTTTTTTCTTTTTCATGATTCTAGTGATAAAATTGAAAGCCAAAATATTTCTGATTCATCTTTTTCAAATAAACCCTGATATTTCCTGTGAAAATAAAATGTATACTTAATTAAGGAAATACTGTCTTTAATCATCTCGGATATACGAATTTCTGCCAGATTGCCCATAACTGTGCAGTAGTTTGCTGACTGAACATTACCCTCACTTTTGTCTTATTGAGAATTTCAACAAAATATGGAAAAGAGGAAGGAATTTTATCATCCCAAACAGCCGATGCCTCTGTGAAAATGAAATGGAAAAGAAAAAAACAACCTCCAGTACCCTCTTACTTTGAAGCTCCAAACAAGCAGATTCCAAAATCCATTTCTGTGCATGTCAATGTGTGTACACATATGAGACAAGCAGCTAAAAATCTAAATGGATAGGGAAGTTCTGGAACCTTTGGCACAACTTCCATGCTAATGATTCCATGTGCAAACTTGTACACTGAGACTTTTAGAATGAATTACCAGTGGCATAAAGCAAGCAGCAACATTAATCCAAGCCAATTTTCTGAGGTAGTAACGGATTTAAACACTCAAAGTGTGTGAGCACAAGTATGCACATGACCAACCTATTTTATGGTAGGTCATTAAAGCATTTTTACTTCTCTATGACCATCTCTATCTTTTCAGTCCATTATTCCCTGCCACCAAAACATTTCTTTGTATGTTAATTAAAAATGTTCTATATTCAGGAGTTGCCCGAAGTTCAAGAAACCTCTTTCCCAATAATTCAAAACATGAGAAACCTTCCATTGATTCCTACATGATTAACAAAGGCCATCCTACCAACCCCCAGGCTATGATAATGTCACTGCCAGTGAAATTATTCAATGAGAACTCAGGTATAGAGGGAGACAGTTTCTTTGGGAGTCATTTAAATCAGCACAGGAAGAGAAGATTAAATGGTCTGCATGAATTATTGGGATTTGGTTTATTTAAAGCTCAGTATAACAAAGATAAGATTTGAATCTGTTACCATATCCTACATATTTCACTTCAGGCCACTCTAACAGTGTTGGACCTGTGTCTAACAGTTGGACCTGCTTTCGCAGCCATGCTAGCTTCCACTGCATCCCATTTTCAGAAAAAGGCCCTTTTTTTAAATCACTGTCTCAATAGTTTAAAAAGCCTGCACAAACCTAGTGAACTAATGTCACCTCCAGTGTGACCATGTAGAGCTTAGCACAGCTCACAGGAGCCTGCCTGCCCCTCTACACAGTTATTTCATAAAATTACACCCCGCTTCATGTCAAACAGAAGAGGTAAAAGACTCACACCATTAATCCTTCTGTCTGAGCTTTGGAAGCCCTGGCTGACAAAATGACATCTCTTGCACAATTCATCAGTGTCATTTGCATAAATAGTTCCTTTAAGTAAATAATATGTACATATATTTAGCTATCCACATGTGTTCCTGAGACTCATTTCCGACACAGATCATCTCACAGGAGATAAAAAACAGGCGATATTCAATCTCCTGAACAAAATCATCTGCAGCCGTAGAGATGAAAAGGACAAAAGGCTGCTGCAAATACCATTCACTGGAATCCCTCCTTTGTATTCTAGCATTTGAAAGATCATGAGGATAGAGTAGAAGTCTGGATAAGACCATTTATTCAATAATAATTTATTCAATAAAAAATGGAGTAAATTTATTTCACCAGCAGAGAATACCTGATGAGATGTCAAATGCATGCAAACCTAATGGTGTGCTAACAAAAAAGCTTTTGCACCACCATTGCAAACTAGATGAAATTCTAGCATTCCATGAATAAGACCTCAGCTAGTCACAGCAGGTCAGATTTACTGCATGCCACGTGGCAGTCTGACCCATAACGTTTTGAAGCTTAATTATAATTACAACGGGTCAGACTGCAATATTCTTACCCTTTTCATTACAGCAAATGACATGCCTACAGCAGAGGTCTGCCAGATAATTTTCTTTAAAAATTACTTCAGCTGAGAAGGCTGAACTCCCACTCCAGCCAGCTCTGATTGGAGTTTGGTTCTCAAAAATCTCTTGTTCTCTGGAGTAAGAAGAGCTCATCAACCAGGGATACTCCAAAGAGCACACCACGTTTGGGTCAGTCCTGCATTTGCTCTACCACACATGCTTCCCCAGTGCATTGATTAAAAGGTTGCCATGAAAAAGGCATGAAGGAAAAAGGCAGGGAAGTCTTATTTCTGAATAGCCAGAGATCCAGTTCATTAAAACAAAAATATTTACTGTCACAATCATGTAATTGTACAGCAATATTTTAGAAAACAATGTTGAAATATCTTTTGCCCCTTCTTCTGTCTGATTTGTTAGAATAAAAGCTTGCAATAAACAACGTAGCTGAAAAATGCAGGTAGTAGGAGACCCTAAGGTTACTTAGGCAAGTTTAAGCACTTGAAACATATAGGCATATAGAGTTACCAGGGTCATGATACTGTTGTTCAAGATTACATATGATACTTATGGGTCTCTAAGGATCCAGTGGATCTACATTGTTCTAATGGCTTGGACATTACTGGTCTTTGCATCACAGATCATCATTAGATTCTCCTTGCTTAGGGCATCAAATAGCCGTGCTACTTTTACATAGTTGGAACAGACAAACATCATATGAAGATAAAACACTGCATAAGAATATATGGGTGAGCTTCAGGGAAGCACAAGAATGGCACTGCACATTATCAGCATTTGCCCAAAGAAGAACTTAAGTTTTCTGTTTAGAGCTTGCAATTTGCTTTATTTTTGCCTGCCAGGGTTAATTAAGCACATCAGAAGAGTTCGGATTCAGCATATAAAGGGAAGGGAGAAGGAAAGGAGCATTGCTCTCACCTCTGCGATGATCCCCACACACCCAGCAATGACTGCGGCCTTCGCTTGAGCCCCGCTCATTCCCCCAAGACCAGAAGTGACAAACACCTTCCCAGACAGGTCTTCCACTTTCAGGTAGCGACGGCCTGCGTTCAGCACTGTGAGCTACACACAACACAACAGTTATTTTGAGCCTTTTGCCTAGAGTTTCTGGAATTTAAAGATAAACATTTAACACTGTATTCCCAGTGATTTTCCATACTGGATAGGTATTTTTAAACACACGACTCTTTGCAAGCAAGACTGCCTAAGGTGCTCAAAGGCATTGGTGTTTTTATATTTGAATAATCTTTCATTACCACTGGAAACAGAGCTTGAAGCAGCAAAATTTGCCTCAGGAGTCATTAAGACCAGGAATCCGTTTTACTTCTTTTAGAAAAAAAGAAGATAATTACTAAGTGATGCTTTAAAAACATCTGTCCTGATAATACATGATTCAGTGACTGAAACAGAATGAAGTGATCAGTGGTTCCCAAATGCTGGTCTTGAGGTATATAGACTTTATCAAGATTAGGTATATAGACTTTATCAAGATTTCAGCAAAATATGAACAAAGAAGGCAAGTCTATTGTTAGGATATGTGTGCATGCTGTATAGTTTCTGTTCTGACACAGAAAACATGCAAATGACCCACATACCAAAAAAAAAAAAAAAAAAAAGATTACATATCTTTTTGAGGTTTTGATTCTGGATAAGGACACTATTTATTTATTTTAAACAGAAAGTAAAAAGAATTGCTTTGCATCCTTCCCACAGCAATTAATTCCTCTCCAGGCACCAGGAGAAACTCTCCTCCACTGGCTCTGCACAAATGGATCTTTTCCCGATTTCTTACCACAGTTCCATGGACTATTCCCTGGGGCCCAATGTAGCAGTAGCTCCCTGCAGTCATCTGACCATACCTAGTAAAAGGAACAAACACATGGAATTAAGTCTGTATATATCTATATGGCTTAGGTATAGCAAAAATAATCATGTCCTGTGCCTCTATTTGTTATTAGAGATGTGGTATTATCAAATTCCCAACTTAGCTGAGTTCCATCTCAGAGAGAAGGTGCATCACCACATTTTCAGAGGAACATTTAGCTTTCTAAATGTCTGAGTTCATCTGGCAAAACTGCATGGATGAAAGGAATAAATAGACATTTAGTGTCTGTATTTAGCACAGTGACTAGGGCAAAAGGAAACACTTTTTCACATTGTTAGCATCTTTATTCAATCAGTTTTCAGTGGAACTCCTAAGTCAAATAGTTGCTTTTGGAAATGTTACCCCAAAAGCCATTCTTCATGCTCCTATTAAATCCCTAGAAGAGTGGCAATCATCATTCTGTATTTGTGCCCTTTCACTTCTGGTTTCCTCACTTGTACACTTCTCCAGTAGTTTTTACCGACTCTGTCCATGATACACAACCCTCTGTTCATCAACTACATGCATAATAAAAATAGCAGGCAAATAATTATTCAAAATATATATATATAACTTCCTACTTCAAAGTCTTAGTATAATAGAAGAGAAGCTTTTACCAGCTTGTATTCTCTATATAGATTACAGCAAAACCTCTGCAAAGTGGACTTAGCCAGTCTTCCAAGTAGGTTTTGATTAAGGCTTTGGGTTGTAATTCAGCCAAACATACATATAAACCTAATCAAGTTTAGTGGGCCTCAACTACATCCTTACATATGTGGCTGAACACAGCTTGAAATACTCAGTAATTCCACTTAAGTGTTCATTAATGCTTTGCAGCATCAGGAGATCGGTTGAAACTCCTCGGCACTGGAAATTTTAATCAAGCAGTGGCTGATATTTAAATTATGTTTTAGTTCTCTGATATATTTCAATAGCGATGTATTATCTTACATTGTTACTCCCAAAGCAAACATCTTCTCATATTCATCTCTAGTGGAATAGTTGGGAATAACCTAAGAAAACAATCAGATAAGCACATTAGAGATTTAAGCAGATATTTTCCATGGGCCAGATTTTCTAACTAGGGTCACACACATAGAAAAACAGAGAAAAAGAGCAGGAGTAAGGCATGTCTTTTGTTCCACACATTCCAGTATCATGAAAGAAGTGTCTGGTCTTCCTGGCAACATGATGGTCATGCAAGTTTTGAGGAAAGCTATGCTATATGACTATTATGCCCAAGACTAGCCCAGGAAGATGGGCAGTGAATGGCCCAGGAGACTGGAAAGGAACCAGTAGATCCAAGTGTCCAACTTGCCTTCAGAATAAAGCAGTCCAGATATCTCAGCATCTGATCAATAATCATCAGTTTGCCTATTGAGGGCTTTTATATCCTCCAAACTGAGCCTGTCTGAACTGTTCCAGCCAAGAGTGTGTGCAGCTTGGACTCAGCGGGAACAGAAGTTGTTCATTCCTTCCACCCCTGCAGTTCAATGCACTTGAGGCAAGGGGGACTGTACTGGCATAAACAGCGCAGAATTTGGATCAGAGGTTCTCCTGAGTGCTTTCCTAAGTTCAGATTGTACCAATAATGCTTAATTCAGCGAACACTTGAAAACTAAATGGAAAAGAAGGAAAAAGAGAAAGCAAGATTCTAATACCTACCATGCCATTAGTAATGATTAATCGAGGAGCATACTGATGGCTAGGAAAGAGTCCCAGAGGATGCCCACTGTACATGACTAATGTTTGCTCTTCGGTCATCTCTGACAAATAGTGCATGACCAACCAGAACTGAAAGGGAAACCAAGGAGAATGAGTGAACCCATTTCTATCTCATTGATGTGTCTTCAGCAATCTCACAAGCTTTGAGTACAAAAGGCAGCTACAGAGATAACAAGGTGCATTTGTATCTGGAATACAAGCAGCCAAAGCTCTTAACCCATTCCTG